TTGAAAAATGTAACAAAAATATAAACCACCTGCTAAGTTATCAAAGGAAAAAGGGGGAGACAAATGTACAAATGTATGAATAACAAAGGATCGAACAATAAATTTAATGGGGAATACAAGTGGAAATGGAAGAAGCCAGACTGTTTTCCAAATTAGTAATATAAGCACTGTTAATAAGGAGGAGAGAGGGCCCTCCCTGGTGACACAGCAGGTTAAAGCACAGCACTAAGAAGCTAAAGCCATGTCAGTATGAGTTAGAGCCCCAGTCCCTGAGGTGACCCACACGGCGTGGCAGACCCTTCCTGGCCCGCCCGCTGCTCCCCTCAGCAGTGTACTTTGGCAGTCGGCCTATTCTGCTCCCCACTCTGTCTTTGGTGAATCCTCTCACCACCCCTGCACCTCTGGCCTGTACCCCAGTTCAGTATGCACAAATAAACAAATCTTTTTTAAAAAATGAGGAGAGACAGGCAATCTAAGCCCAGGTTATTTTGGAACACAGTATTTTGACCAAATACATTGGGGCTGAAGAAAAAGAGCCTCCATGGTGGTAAAAGGGATACGATTCTGCACTATGAAGAATCCCATCAGCCACTGCAGCATGAGTTCCACCCCCACCCCGGGAGGTGACCTACGTGGCACGGCAGACCTCTCCTGTCTTGCTCGCTGCTCCCCTCAGCAGTGTTCTGCTCCCCCTCTGTCTCTGGTGAATCTTCTGAATCCCTGCAACTTTGGCCTACACACCCAGCTCTTACATGCATAAATAAATCAAATATATTTTTTTTAAGTGGAGGAAAAAACCCTGAGAACAAATATTGTATTATAGTACTAAAGTAGGTTTACTTTTCACAATGATGTGAGTTAGATAGTCTGAAACTGCTTTGGGTATAAATATTGAGATAGTGATTGGAATTGGATATACCGGTATAAATTCATGGGTTTTAATGCAGCTATTTCTACATATATCTGTATCTGTAGCTATCTATAGACAGAAATGAAAAGAGAGAGACCTATATGTGCTTATCTGTTTTGTATATTTACTGATATCTAGACTGTCTCTTAGTGACAGATTCCAAGGAAGTGCTTGAAAAATGGTGAAGACAATCGAGAGGACAGAGGAGTCAGCTTGGAGGGATACCCACTGGACAAATGGGGGGCAATTTTTGTATCAATAACAATAATAATATAATTGGCAGAGATTAGAAATGGAAATATAAATTGTTACCATGTCTGTAGAATGTGGAAATATATCTGCAAGAACAATTGAAATGAAAAACAACAAAAATCATAACAGGTTATAACCCACTGAATAAAATTAGAATCGGCGAGGCCATTCTGATACCAACACATGCATAAGGAAATAAATGAAGAGAAAGGAAAATGTTCTTCTTTATGGTAGAATGTCAACTAATACATGTATGGAACTAAGAAATGACTGGTAGCCATCACAGGTAAAATCATCCACTGCCACTAGTATTTTAACGAGAAATGTGGTACTTATGTAGTCCCAAAGTATTGTATCTCCTTACGAAATGAAGCAAGTGATTGAAGTTAATCTCGTCACTGATGGTTAAAATATACATGGTGGGGCCTTTCTGGTGGTGCTGGGTTTAAAGTCTCAGCACTGTCATGCTATCATCAACCACTTGGCACAAGTTAGATCCCCTGCTAGGGAGCCGGCCTACATGGTGCCGCAGATCTCTCCTGTCACACCTGCTGCTCCTTTCAGCTTTGTATTTCCGTAGGATCCACCTGTTCTGCTCCCCACTCTGTCTTGTGAATCCTTTCACTCCCCGCACCTATGGCCTACCCCCCAGTTCTTGTATGCATAAACAAATAAAAATAAAACATAAAAAAATAGATGCACTGTGTGCAATACTCCGCCTATGGTGTTCCAGACCAAATGCCATTCAAAGATCCATGAAAACTACTCATGAGGGACAGTGCTTAAACCTAAATTGAAAAACATTTTCCAAACATCTGTTGTTTTCTTTTCAACAATACCAAGGTCATAAAAGACAAAGGTGGAAGAACTGTTCAAGATTAAAGGAGAATAAGGAGGCATGGAAACTAAATGCTGGAGCAGATTCTGGACCAGATTTTTTTTTAAAAAAATTGGCTTAAAGGGCATTAATCAGGACAACTGATAGAATTGGAATAAGTGTTTTAGATTAGAAATAGTATTTTAAATACTTTTTCAAAAAAAATCATTGTACTTCAGCTAAGTGAATGTTCTTGTGATTAGGAAATATATTTTGAAGTATTTAGAAGTAAAATGCATGATAGTTGCAACTTAAAAAGGACAAAACTGTATGTATAAAGAATAATAAATGAAACATGGTAAAATATAAAATAATTGGGAGAGCTGGGTGAAGGTTAAATGGGGTTGCTTCTTGTCCTTTTGGCTAGGCTCAAATAAAGGTTAAATGTGTTTTCTTCCTACTACTGAAATTTTTTTATTTGAAACTAATTTAATTTATAAAACAACAAAAAATAAATATTTAAAAATATTTGGAAGAACATGTAGGAGAATAACTTTGTTCCATAGGATTTTTTGAATTCACATACAAAGCACAAACTATAATGGGGGAAAGGATCAATTTGAGTAAAATTCACCTACAATAAAAAAGTCTATAAATTAAAAACAAACCACAAACAATAAGAAGACACTTGCTATGCTTAAGACTAGTATCCAGAGTATCCTTTTTAAAAATTACAAATGATCAAATAGAAAAATCAGCAAAGGTTATGAACAGATGTGTTACAGAAGGCAACGTACATGTGAAAAGATGACCATTATAGTAGGAATTAGTGAGAAAAGAATTAAAATAATATTGTACCATTTCATATTCATGCAAATGGTCAAAATCATCTAACTTGATAATACCCATTATTGAAAGAATGAAAAGACAGGAGGACCATTTCTTTTAAAAAGATTTATTTATGCATACAGAACTGGGGTACAGGTGAGAGGTGCAGGTGTGTGTGTGTGTGTGTGTGTGTGTGTGAGAGAGAGAGAGAGAGAGA